TATAAAGAAACATACATGAGACTGAGAGGCTGAGAGCCCCCCAAATTCAGAGTTAATCCAGTGAAGAGACGCTTGAGGGAGGTTGACTGTCTGCAAAAGCACCTGCCTGGGCCATAAATAAATAAATATTAAATGAAGAGTCTCCTTCAGTTGAGGGATAGATGAGGTATAATTTCAGGCAAAGTCTGGGCACAGTAGTATGATGAAGTGTGAGTTACATAATTGTATTTATTTATCAACCATATACTTAACAAATACCTATGATATGCCTGAGACCAAGCTGGAGAGAATTTAAAGGTAAGTAAGGCACTATCCTTAACCTAACAGAATGTATCACTAAGCATTAGAAAGGCAAGTACAGAAGCCCGCAGATGTAGCAGTTACATCCCTGGACTCCCACATGACCAACCGTGGTTCGAGTCCCAGATCCGGTGGCTTGAAACTCACACCAGGCGCATGTGTGTGTGTGCCCAAGATCCCAGGAGGAGAATGGAGAAGGGATTGTGGCTTGGCCATTCCCCCTGGAGAGTGATTTCTCACTTTCCCTGTCACTGTCTCTGTCTGTGTCTCTCTGGTGAGCACACGCACCTGAAGGCAGAAACCTATAAAGTAAATAAGAAAGGCAAGTACGATGTAGTGGATCTAACATGATGGTGACGCTCTTACAGCAGAGAGGTACTTCTTGATCGAGCAAAAATAAATCAATAAATAAAATGAAAGAAGAGAAGAGTTACATAAGTGAGACCTGGGTAAGTTAATTAGCCGGACGGAAGGGGCTAGGTATGAAGGAGGTGTTCTAGCCAGAGATGACACCTGGCAGTTGCAGAGAGGCAGAAAAGGAAGGACACAATGCACTTGTAAGTAGAAAGCAATTTAGGGATGCCAAGACCGCTCCCGTCCCACAAACGGTGCTGGGACAAGTGAGAACCACGTGTGAGAATGTATATAGGCTGTACCTTGTATCGTGCACACGGAAGGGACACCAGGAGTCGGTGAGGAGGCTGGCTCGGCAGCACAGCAGTAGCGCCCGCTCCTGAGATGCTACGTCCACGTGGGAGGGTGCGAGTCCGTTTTCTGGCCAACCGTACATGCTAGGCACTGTCGCCTGCGACTCTGGCTGTTGGGGAGGGCAGGATCGCAGCGTGAGACCCCGTTGAGGGGGCTTTTCTTTTGTGCTATCCCCTTGTCTTTCACTCTTGTTAGAGAAATAAACTTTAAAAAAAAAAGGAATAGAGATTTATTTGGTTAAAGGCCAGTCATATGGCCAGCAGGTGGGTAAAGGAACCGAATCCCACATGGCCAGCTGCGTGGTTGGGTCCCCAAACACGACAGCTTGGAAGTCCCGCAGGGCCTGTGTGCCTGCACGCCCACAAATCCCCAGGTAGAGATGAGACATTGTGGTGTGGCCATCCCCCAGCCTGGTGATTTCTCTCTTTCTCTCCCTCTCTCTCGCTCTGTAGCGAGCACACATGCCATATATGAAACAAACAAAACCTCTTAAAAGTTAGTTGTAGACGGAGTAATTATGAGAGCTGGTATAATACAAGGGAGAGATCTTTGATTACGAGCTTGGCGTACATCAAGTGACTGGTTTTTAAAGGAGATCGAGGTTTTGCTTAAGAGTCGTGGTGTGAAAACTGAGGGAGGAGAGTGGGCGAGGAAGGAAAAAGATGCATCTCCCCGGGAAGACTTGAGGGAGTGAGATTAGCGTGAGGACAGGGCGCTTGGAAAGAACCGCCTCTAGAAAGCAGAGTACAGATTACGCTTTCATGATTGTCCAGCACATTTGGAATTAACAGCCTCATTGGTGAGATCATCCCCGTCGTGGGGAAGGCGACTAGAAAAATCTCAGCCGAGGACTCGTTCTGAAGCGCCACCTAACTTTGCGTTTTCTGGCCCTGTATTGACCAGAGCAACGTTCTGGTTACGATTAGGCTCCCTGCATTACTACAAGGAGATCGTTGAGCAGTACATATCTCGTATTCTTCAGCTAATTGTCATTTTAATTTTTATCATCAAAATATCCGAAATTGGCACTGTTTTCTACATCAGTTCTTTTGGCGAATGGTGAGAGTGTGAGAGAATTTTTAGGTTTCCTAAGCCAAGGTCCAGACCCTGGTTCAAAATGTAAGCCCTGAGTTATGAGCCTTTTGTGAGGCCCGCAGGTAGAAGCCTGCGCGGGTGAGTCCCTGTGGAAGAAAACAGCTGCACGGTGGACCTATTTCTGTACACTGCAGCGGAGAGCCAAGCTCGGGTGCTGCTTTGCCTTTGTAGACATGGCTCCTTTCCCGTTCCAGAGCAGCATTCATCACATTTCTTAAGTGCTTTGCATAGAATTTCCCAGTTCGTCGTGACCTCTGTGCTGGGACTTGATCAGCCGCAGATGCTACACTTGAAGGCTGTTGGCGCTCGGTGGCGTGGTAGCTGTGATTCAGTTTGAGTCACCCCTCCCCGGCCATATGACAGCACATTCTTGCAGGAGCCCAGCCATATTCTCGGGAGTCATTTTCTAACTGACTGGGCTAGTTTAGAGGCCTTTGGGTTTCACTGGACTTTTCTTCATTTCCTTCTTTTGTTGATCTTGGCCTCTGAACCATCCACCCACTTTATTACTCATTTCTTGGGGACCAGGCTACTCAGTAACATGGAGAAGATCTATCTGAAACTGTATGGGTTAAGTAAAGCAAACTCAGGGGGCGGGGGAGAAGCAGAAATGCGTGTTCTCTGAACTTCCTCTGTTTGTGTGCTGTTTATATGTTGTTAAGCTTGTGTTCTCCAGCTGCCCTTCTGCGTTTCCAACATGACTAACGCTGTCCGGGAACACTCAGAGGGTCGTGTTGGTGCAGTGGCTGAGAAGACACTTCGTTTGTCCCCGCCAGATAGTAGATCTTCTTCCGAGGTGTGGGAGCAATGCCAGGAGCTTCAGACGCTGAGTCTTGAGGTTCTTGAAAGGCCGTTGACTTCTAGGCACATTTTTAGAAAAAAGCCATTCAGACAGGTCCTTTCACGGTCTGAGGCTACCTGCCTGACTCCGAGTACTGCTCATTGCAGTTAGGCTTTATGTGGCTAACTGCGTTTTCTTTTTTTGGGGAGAGGTTTTTGCTATAGGGCTCGTGAGCTCGCCAGACAGACAGAGAGAGACATAGAGACAGAAAGCGAGAAATCATCCTGCAGGGGGGATGATCACGCCGCAATCCCTTCTCCTCCATTCTCCTCTCAGGATCTTGGGCACGCACTCACACACGCCCGGCGTGAGTTTTAAGCCACCAGGTCCGGGACGAGAACCACGGTCGACTACGTGGGAGTCCAGCGACATAGCCATTACGCTAACTACTGGTTCTCGCTAACTGCGTTTTCTTACGGCAAAGTATTGGCACGGGTATGAGATGTTGTTAGCAGCCGTTAAAGCCCAGGCTCTGTTCTGATCTCTGTATAATGTGAATTAAATTTTAAGTACGCTTGAGTCAGGATTCTCCTGCAAAGCCTGCAGACTGGAAGTGTGTGGCATTTGTGAAAGCCATTCCACTTTAGCCCCCCTATCTCAAAGGGTCTGAGCGGTTCGCCAGCATCTCTGCACGTGGACTCCTTCCTCTGGCTGAATGGGAAGTTCTTGTCTGCTCCCCTGTGGCGCTCACTAAGAGCTAATATGTGTATACAGACACCTTCTTCCCCCACCCCCCAATTAAGCTTTCTACAGAACTTGGTCTGCTAAATAATTGATTTAGAAGTGAAAACGAGTGAAGGTAAGAAGTAGATCTCAGTGTTGCCGCTGTGGAAATAAACGACTGCGTCGAACGTGGAGGACAGGGCCTCGGAGCGCTGTGCATCTCTGTGTGTCCACCTCCGTTGGGGGAGCCCTCGCCCGGCTTTGGCTGCGGTGCTTTCCTTTTCATTTCTGCTCCGCTGGGTCTCCGTGGCAGCAGCACCTCCAGGAACTGCTGAGGGAGCTCCAAATGCATTCTCGGCTTCTCAGCTCTCCCAGTCGATTGAGGCACTCTTTCTTGAGTGGTTTGCAGTCGCACTTAAGTGGCTGATGTTTGGGGTCACTATTGAATATTTTGTTTGACTATCACTTTCATGATGAATGGAAGGCTGCTGCTTTTAGCTCTCCGGGGTGAAGCCCTTCATGGTGAGCCTGGAAAGGGAAAAATCTTTCTTTGTAGTGATACTCTAGGTGAAATTACTGTTTGTCACTTCACCCTTGTATCCTTTCGGTCTGATAACCTCAAGTTCTTCTGATTTATTTGTTTTCTTCAATTAAGCCTAGTCGTTTCCTGTCCCCAGGTGCGTGCTCTCTCTGCTGCTGGATAGATGGTGACGCGGAGCCTATTTCTGACCTGGAAGTGTGGTTTCTCGACTCAGAACCACAGCGGCATTGCCTTCCATCCTCCACTTCCTTTGCATTATTTCCTGTTGGAGGGCTCAGTTTGTCACCATTTAACCCAAGGATGATTCATCTGGGACTGAGAACTTGCAATGCCATAATAACAATACCTTCCTTATGTAATAATGCTCAAAGCACTTACTCGCCTAGGCTTTCTCTGTGCATGAAGCACTTTCTGTTTAATCCTTCACAATAACCCTGCGGGTTAAGTCAGCAATTTTGTCTGTCTAGGATGGTGAAATTGTAGCTCAAAGAGGTTAAATAACTTGCTCAGGGTTGCAGTGCTTCCGAGTTACTCTGCTTCACAGTTCCTACAGGAAATGGAGACTACTTTTAAAGATATTCTGGATGAATAAGAAGGAATTTTTCAAGCTGTGCCCTACTTGTTAAGATCTTAACTTGTTTTTAGTTTGGTCAGTTGATGAAACAGGGTTATAAGCCCTTTAGCTGTAGAGCTTAAATTGATGTGAGCAAGTCAAGAAAATAAATATTTAGGTCAGTTTCTGTTCTGCTGCTATGATAAAGTTAAAGAAGGCTGGCTCTTAAATTAGTGGAACTTGAACTGGAAGCAATTAAGCCATCAATTATTTTTTTTTGCATTCTCTTTTCCTTTCAGGGAGATGGAAAGTTTGATGACTAGTTCCACCCTCCCACCCCTTTTTGCAGATGAAGATGGCTCCAAAGAGAGTAATGATCTGGCTACAACCGGGTAAGCTGCTTCAGGATGTTGGGCCTCTGCATAGACTTCGAAAGCAAGCTCCCAGCAGGTCCAAGGTGCTAAAGAGGCAGCATTATGAGAATAGATGGTGCGTTAGTTGTGCCTTGCAAAGAGTGCGAGCCCCGGACACGGCTCCGTAGGTCTGCATTCACTGTCTCTGCAGAGCTCTGTTTCCTGTGAGCTGACCCAGCCGTGTGTGGGATCTGGCATACTCGACCACTCCAGATGGGACCCTCCATGGTCACTGTACAGGAAATACCAGCCACAAGCTCGCTCTAACAAACAAAGGCATTTTCTGTTTGAATTGCTACACGTGGTAAATTTTTCTCCCAAAGATCAGATTTTTTTTTTTTTTTTTTTTGGCGAGATTTTCACTATAGGGCGTGTGCGCTCTCCAGACAGACAGAGAGAGACATAGAGACAGAAAGCGAGAAATCCCCCCCCGGGGGGATGGTCACGCTGCAGTCCCTTCTCCTCCATTCTCCTCTCGGGATCTTGGGCACACACACACACGCGCGCCCGGCGTGTGTTTGAAGCCACCGGGTCCGGGACACGAACCACGGTCACCTACGTGGGAGTCCAGTGACATAGCCATTACGCTAACTGCTGGTTCCCAAAGATCAGATTTTTTTTTTTTTTTTTGGCGAGATTTTCACTATAGGGCGTGTGCGCTCTCCAGACAGACAGAGAGAGACATAGAGACAGAAAGCGAGAAATCCCCCCCCGGGGGGATGGTCACGCTGCAGTCCCTTCTCCTCCATTCTCCTCTCGGGATCTTGGGCACACACACACACGCGCGCCCGGCGTGTGTTTGAAGCCACCGGGTCCGGGACACGAACCACGGTCACCTACGTGGGAGTCCAGTGACATAGCCATTACGCTAACTGCTGGTTCCCAAAGATCAGATTTCTAATGTAGTTCTTTATTCAAGATGATTAGGAGCTTGAGTTGACTTCAGTTCTTTTTTCCCCCTCAAATCTCCTTTCTGTGGGATTTTGAGCAAATATGTAAAGGAATATAAAACAGTGGTTAATAGCAGTAGTTTTTCTCTCCCCTTGAAAATCTTGGTTCCACGTGGATTTTTAATCTTTTCTAGATATTTAAGAGTTACTTGCCAAAGGAGAAGTATATTCTCTAATAGATTAAAGTGCTAGCTGATTCCCAAGATGAATTATTTTAATATTCTTTAGAGCACTTTAAATAAAAACTATACTTTGTAATTCTGTTTCCTTCCTTCACATTCATTTTTCACCTCATTTTTATCCATTTTTGACCTCACTAAAATGAAACTATTTTCCAAGATTTTCCTAAAGGCTGCCTGGTTACTGTTAAGAACCCAGTTCTTTCAGTACAAACTTCCTGAGTGTATACTATGTGCCAGTCAGTGTTCCAGACATCAGATATTAGATATAAAACTGATCAAAACAGACACAAAGCCTAGCTCCTTCAGAGCTCAGACTCTACTGGGAAGTCAGACAGTAGGAAGGATGATTAAGTAAAATACTTCAGTAAGAATTATAGTTTAAAAATGAAAAAAAAAAATGAAGGAGGGAAACTGGATAGGAAGGATTTAGGGGTACAGTTTTAGACAGGAGGGCCCAGAAAGCATTTAATGAGAGAGTATCCTGAATAAGGACCTGGAGGAAGCCAGGCGACTGGCACGCAGCTGTCTGGGGTGGGTGCTCTAAGCAGTCGGTGCCAAGTCGGGAGCTGAGAGTGCCCCCCAGACACAGCAGGGAGGCCCATCTGACTAGCTGCAGAGTCAAAAGGAGGGCAGCAGAGGGCTCTGCTTCTCAAACTTGAATGTACATCTGCGTTGCCTGGAAACCTTGTAAATATGTGGATTCTGATTTGGGAAGTCCAGGTGCCGGCTGGGGATTCTGCATGTCTGCCAAGCGCTCAGGTAGTGCTAGGGCTGCTGGTGCAAGCCCGTATTTTGAGTAATAAGGGACCCAGTTGTGTAGGACCTCAGAGGTCAGAATGAACGCCTGAGGGGCTGGGAAAGCACTGGAGGGTTTTGAGCAGATATGACCTGATGTTTTTGTTTTGTGTTTAATTTGCCACAGAGTGCATTTGCTCACCAGAGAGACAGAGAGAGAAAGCACCCTCAGTGGGGCATGGTCACACCACAACCCCTTCTCCATTCACTGTCCTATTGGGATCTGGGGCACACAAGCACAGGTGCCTGGCAAGTCGCCAGAGCTGGGATTCGAACCACTTAGTCAGCCATGTGGGATCCAGTAGGCCAAGGGACCAGCCCTGGTTGGACTTCGTTTTTAATGAGATCCCTCTGCCTGTTATGTTGAGAATAAAGGAAGTAGGAGGGGCAAGGAGACTAACCGACAGGAGGGTCTGCAGATAATCAGGAGCGAGGAAAACCTGAGGAACATCACTGGTGACTTTGGCAAGAGTGCCTTTGGTGGAGCAGTGGGGACAAACGCTCAGTGAAGTACTTTTTAAAGGTTATGGGGGTTGGGGGCCTGGCAGGTACTGTGGTAATTAAAGGTGATGGGTTCCCGCATGGCCCACTGCAGTTTGAGTTCTGGGCCTGGTGACTTGCTTTCTCGCTCCCTGCCCCACTGGTCAAATTAAAAAATAATGGTAACAGGAACCAGCGGGTGGGTGGTAGTTAAGGGCACTGGACTCCCACATGGCCAACCGCAGTTCAAGTCCCGGACCTGGAGGCTTACTTTCTCTTTCTCTCTCTCTCTCTCTCTCTCTCTCTCTCTCTCTCTCTCTCTCTCACTCTGTCCCTGTCTGGTCAAATGAAAATAAATAAACAAAGTTAAATAAAATAATTATTTAAAAAAATAATAATGGTAACAAATGGAAAAAATCAGTAATTTAAAAAAACATAGAGGAATGAGGTGGTGCCAAGTACAGAATTCTAAATGTAGTTTGAAAATCAACCAAATAGGATTTCCCTTGAAAGACCAGATAAGCAATGTAAGAAGGGAGGTGGGGAAAGTCAAGCCTACCCCCAAAGTTTAGGCCTAAGCAACTAGAGATGGATTTGTAGTTAACGTGGGTAGAAAAGACTGAACAGGTAGGGGAGGACACTGTAGGAGCTCAGCTTTAGACATTTTTAAAAAATTATTTTAACTTTCTTTGTCTCTTCCTTTCTTTCTTTCTCTCTTTTTAATTTGACTAGAGAGGGACAGAGCAAGGGGGTGGGGGCAGGATGAGAAAGCAATCTGTCGGATCTTGGACTTGAACCACTGTCAGCCGTGTGGAAGTCCAGCGCCCTAGCCACCACACCACCTGCTGCCCCTCAGTTTTAGGAATGTTAAGTTCAGGATGGTTATTGCACAGCTAAGCAGAGGCGTCAGGTGGTTTGAGATCAGATTGTAAAGACGGAGGGAGGAACACGGAGTCATCATGGCAGCATACGGCGAGCAGTGGGAGCCATGAGGCTGGAAGCAATGTCCAAACAAGTGAGTGTTACGTGATGGGACAGAGGAGATCGACCTCCTGATCTCGGGGCACTCCAGCATGCAGAAAGGCAGGCAGGGCGGTGGGGGTGTCAGCAAAGACAAAGAGCAGCTAAAATGGTTGCAGAAAAACCAGAGGAGTGTGGGTTGCTGGAAGCCAAAGGAAGTTTTTCAAGGGAGGAGGAGAGGTCAACCTGTCAGACGCTTCCAGGAGATCAAGCGAGATGAGCCACGTTGGGTTTAGCGTGGAGGTTCTCGGTGGCCTCGTCAGGCTCTCATCCTCTTTGGAGTGGGTTTGAGAGAGAACGAGAGGGTATTGAAGTCAGTGAGTGTTAACGGTTCTGTCCAGGAGTTTGGCTATACAGGAAAGAAGGAAAATGAAGACCTTAACTAGAAATGGGATGGGAAGGCTGTCATCTTGCTTAAAGAAGGGTAATAGTACCGCACGTGTGTGCCGATTAGCCTGAACCTGGAAAGGGCTGGTGACGCTGGAGAGGACAGAGCTGCTGAAAACCTTCTCTGCGGAGGCTGGAGTGTGGGACCCCGGGAGCAAGTGGAAGGGTTGTAGGCGTTAGCCAGGAGCGTGAACAATTCGTTTACAGTAACAAAAGAGCTTTTTTCCGTCCGTTTTTATCCAGCTCACCATCTCTGTGGCATTTGACTGCTTTGACCACTCCCTTCTGATTCCTGTTCACTTCAGACAGGAATTCATGGGAGTGGTACCCAAACCTGCTTCTCATGTTTCACTGAAATAAAAATGTAACTGAAAAATTGATGGCACAGTTGAAATGAGAGTGACAGTGACAGAGCACGTTGCCTACAACATCTAAAATGATTGAAATATTTAAAAAATAATGCCGCCAAGATCAAGCTGGATCTCCGGCGATACCTCTTTTCAGAGAATGTGATTGACATTAATCTCATAATCTCTTTTACCTCAAAAATGTGGGAGCCTCTTGCCTAAAATTATCTAGTACGTTTCCTAGAAAAGGTCAGAAAAGTATAATTTCTTTATTCCCAGGACAATCCACATCTGCTCTTGTTTCTTTTCTTTTCTTTTTTTTTTTTTAAGTTTGCTATCGGGTGTGTGCACCCACCAGAGAGAGACAATGAGAAATCACCCCCAGGGCAGATGGCCATGCTACAGTCAAATAATAAATCTTTTTTTTTTTTAAATTTTGCTATAGAGCATCACCAGATACAAACGGGGTGGGGAGGGGGGTGTGAAATCACCCCTTCATAGGGGATGGCCGTGTTGTAATCCCTTCTCCATTCTCCTCTCAGCATGATTTTCAAGCCACCAGATCCAGGACTCAAACCATGAGTTTGGTCATGTGGGAACTAGCCACCTGAACCTCTGTGCCACCAGCTGACCCAACGTCTGTTACATTTTATTTGGTTAATGCCCCCTTCTGAAAAAGCTGTTCTGCCATGGTCCTTGCAACAGTATTCTCTTCTAATTCTCTAAGTGTGCTCCTTAGCCTCCTTTCCTAGCTTTTCTTTCTTTTTTTTTTTTTTTCAGAAGTGTTTCTTTTATTTTTTTATTATTAGTTTTTAATTTGACCTAAGAGAGACAGAGAGTGAGAGAAAAATTAAGGGAGAAAGTTAGCTGGTAGGCTGGGGACTTGAACTGTGATCAGCTGTGTGGGAGTCCAGCATCTCAACCACCGTGCTACCTGCTAGCCCTCCCAGCTTTACTGACATTTGCTCCTAGAAAGATACTGTTCCAGCTGAGCTCTTTCCTGACTATCTCCTCATGGTTTCTGGGGAATAACTAGCACTGTCCATCATGGGCCAAGGCTTACTACTAAATCCATCTCCTGCCTTCTCTCCACTTGTGTTCTCTCGGGCATGCTTCCAGCTGTCTGTGGGACATTTTCACTTAGTCATGCTACAGACATGTCTGACATACTGTTTTTTGTCTTTCTTGCTCATCAACACCCACACACACCCTGGTCTTACCTTGATTGATATTAAGTACATAACCATCATTTTGGAAGCCTTAAAATTGCCTCTGACTCTTTTTTTCCCTTCACTGTTTATATGTAATCAGTCGTTACGTTTCTCCATTCTACCTCTTACAAATAAGTATCTCTCAGCTTCCCATCCCCTGCTCTCCATCCTCCCTGCCCTGAGTCTTACTTAGTCTGTTACAGGAGCCTCATGAAAAGTGTCCCATTCTCCTTTGATGTCCTGTACTTCTTGCCTGGAGTGATGGTGTTTACTTGATGGACACCTATTCATCTTTCAAGCTCTCCTCTGTAAAAGCTTCCTTAATATCCTCTCCATACATACAAAATCATCATCCCCTCTATCATACTTGTATTTTTTTTATAAAGTGCTACCTCAGTACTTATACTATATTATTAATTTTGCCTAGAACTCTATGGAGTTTACATTCTTTGAGAATGACAGTATATTATTCTGTTATTCACCTTCCTACCATGGGTACCTTCTCCCCACCCTCCAACCCCTGCAAAGAAACACTAAAATGAAAACAAACTTCGTAGCATGTGGTGTTGTCTTTTCTTCCATCCTTTTATCCACAGGTGATAGGTCAGTCTGTCTAAGACCTCGCCGTCTGTATCTTGTGTCTACTTTTGATGATGAGATCTGATTTGCTAATTCCTCTGGAGTAGATTAGTGACAGCAGAAAAGAAGTGTGTCTGTCTAATTTAGTAACACTTATACCCAAACTTACAGAATCTGATAATCCTGTTCCTAAATGATCTGGTTGTCAATAAACATTCCAGGGCCAGCAGGTGACTTGGTGGTAAAGGCACTGGACTCCCACATGGCCGACTGTGGCTCAAGTCCTGGACCTGGTGGCTTGCTTTCTCAGTCTCAGCCTTTCTTTTTCTCTGGTCAAATTAAAAATTACAATAATAATAAATAAAATTTAATTTAAAATTTCTTTAAAAAAATGAATAAACATCACAATCTGAGAAGAAATAGTCTGTGAAATGTACCATAGAATTATTTTCTTATGCTCTTTAAGAACTCTCTGTTTTGTGATGGGAGCAAACTGCCTGTACACTTGGGATTGCTAGTCACCTCTCCATAAACAGCGTTTCCCCTTGACATTGGAGAATACGCAGGGTAGCATATAAAAATGAGGCTGTTCTGCATGCTTATAGCTAGACCATGAAATCTATATTGAGGAGAAAGGTCACTTCTTTGGAAAAAATGATTGTTTTTTGTAGGTGATATCTTCATGGAGCTGAGCTGGTTCAGCCAAGCACTGAAACCATCCTGTTAAGCGCCCCATACCCTCTGTGAAGACACTGCCTGCATGGCATGGACTGTAGTGGGGGATTAATTCAAGGACCTACTGTGTGCTGTTGCTGGCAGGGAAACTGGCCTTGCACTTTGGCAAGTAGGAGGGGTTTTTGCCACCATTGATTCTAAACTCGGGCACTTCTGCTTGCGATTCAGGTTAACCCATGCAGAGGCTCCTTACGGTGGTGGAGCCGCATCGTCTGCCAACAACCCCGAATTTGTGGAGGATCTCTCCCAGGGTCAGCTGCTGCAGAATGAATCTTCAAACGCAGCAGAAGGCAGTGAGCAAAGGCATGAAGACGAGGTAAGCCGACCGTCTCTTCCGCTGCTGCCCCCGACACTTCTGAAGAAGCCGCCAGTGAGGACCGTGTTGGCCGTGGCGGTCCTCTGGCCATTGCACGTTCCCGAACTGATACCCACACATTTCCTGTTGTTTCTCCTCTTAAGGCCATGTCAATCATTGTAATGACATAGTGACATGTAGACTTATTTTTCTCCTGTCTAGGAAGTTTATACCTAACTTATGTTCGGTGCTCAGCAAACGCCTGTTAAATGAGTGAGTGATGAAACTGTTGGAGTGGCCCATAGGGTGTCCGTAGGCTCTTGTCCAGGGCCACTCTGCTCACCCATCCTGAAGCATGAAGCCATGAATGCACAAAGAAGTCGTGCCACTTAGCAAGGCCCTCTCCCTCCCCGGGCACCTCTTTCTAGTTCACACAGAGGTTGCATGTGGGCCTGGGCAGTCAGGCCCTTGTCGACCTTCCGGTGTTCCTGACAAATGACCCAGTACCTTTTTATCTATCTGGTTGGGTAGCTAGAGGGCACGTGCACTCATCAGAGGGAAACAGAGAGGGAGAAGAGAACGCACTTCCCAAGGGAATGGTCACACCACACTTCATTTCGGATATATTATACGTACATTTTTTTGAGACTCGGACTTAGTTTTAAAATGTATATGCTGTTTGCTGCGAGAGATAATCTGGTCTCTAAGCGTTGTCAATGAAAAACACCGTTCGTGAGTTCTTACTGTTTTAAAATGTGTTTTTAAAGAATTATTTATTTAATTGTATATATTATTATCATTATTATTCAGTTAGACCAGAGAGAGAGAAAGCAAACCGCCAGATCCAGGACTCGAATCATGGTCAGCCATGTGGGAGTCCAGCGTCTTAACCTCCACCCACCCGCGGGCCCTCCTGCAGGTGCTCTGCATCGTCTTCTGCACCGTGTGTGTGACATCTTTTTCTGGTCCGCTCTGACAGTGTCCGCTTCCCTGGCACAGTGCTGTGTGTCCCGTGCTGCTTGTCAGGGTACTCCCTGTCAGGAATCAGGCCCGAGGACAGAAGGCCAGACACCCCTGTTCTCGTTTGTGGGAATCGGCACCAGGATAGCCCTCTAGTGCTGCCTTTTGCAGTGTGCTGCATGACAGGGCCTGCAGCGAGCCAGGCAGAGTCCCGTCCGGAAACCACGCTGCAGCTCACGTACCGACTGGGTCCTGGGGACCTGTCCGGTCTGTTGGTATTCATCTTGTTACTGTTTGGTTATTTCGGGAGATTGATATTGCTGTTTGGATTTTTTGGGGTTTTGTTTTGTTTTGTTTTATAGCAAAGAAGTAAACGAGGAGGTTGGTCCAAAGGGAGAAAGAGGAAGAAACCTCTCCGAGATAGCAACGCCCCCAAGTCCCCCCTCACAGGATACGTCCGGTTCATGAATGAGCGCCGAGAACAGCTTCGAGCAAAGAGGCCGGAAGTCCCCTTCCCGGAGATCACGAGGATGCTGGGCAATGAGTGGAGTAAACTGCCTCCTGAGGAAAAGCAGGTGCTCTTTCTGTGCCTGACCCTTCGCTCCCATAGAGCTGCAGCTGCTGGGGCAAACTGGGCCCGCCTGCAAGGGGAAGCTCTCACAGGGCCTGCACTGACTCCCCACACCGAGGGCTTAATGAGTTGGGGCCATGCAGACTGGCATGGCCACCACGGCCTCC